CAGGAGGATTTTTATCAATCTGAAAATTGTAATTTCTAAAGGTATTTTGGAATAGGTTTTGTTCACTCTGGGTTAATTGGTAAAAAACAACAAAATGGTGAAGCAAAACCTGAGAGAACTTGTGTTGTTGACTGGCAGCAGTTAAGGCAATAATTTAATAACCAGATCTAATTTGGGCTAAAGGATTTGTTCAGTGGAGAGCTGTGCTGGCTCACCAAAGCAGGTATAGCCTGCTTTGAATTTTCTTGACATTATTTTTCATATCAACTAGCTCAAAAAGCTTCTTCCCTGATGATTTGACATTAATTTGAGGTCCACTTTTGGTGGATGGAATAAATTCCAGAAGAGATGCACACCATTACATGTGTAGGGTGAAATAACCTGAACACAGATATTCCTTTATTTGCAAGCAGATTTTTTTTTTTTGTTCCATTATTTATTTGGCTTCCTTCTTTTTCCTACAGCAAGAATAAGTCCTAGGAAGAAATTTCTATAGCTGTACTTAAAGCATGTAAAAGTCTGCACAAGCAAACTTTTATTTGTCCCAAGATAGGACATAAAAGTTCATGAAAGTTTCAGTAAATAATCCAATTTGCAGCTGACCCAAGTGAGAAAGGGATTTGCCTTGTGGAAAAACTTTTCCTTTGGAAAAACACCCCAATAAACACCAGCAATGTAAAGATAATAATCTTTGTCCTCGCATTAAGGGACTTTACAGTCTGATTATTTTTACCTGCAGAATTTCACTGTGCTGTGTAAAAAGGTTGGGGAAATGAGAATTTTGGTGCTGCAGATCTATCAAGGGTATGAGAGAATTGTGATGGTTGAATAGACAGACAAAGCTGATGGGATTTTGGAGACAATCTATGTTTTCATTGCAGTGACCCACTTTTTAGTGTCTTAAGTAGCAATAAAAGTGGCTGTTTCTTCTTTTTTCCCTAGTGTGCCACTGGGCCTAGAAGTATAAGCAGTTACTGTCTTTATAGAAACAAGAAAACTTAATAGTTTTCTAATTTTTTACTAATTGTTTACTAATTGTAATTAACAAAAAATGTTAATTTTTCATAACACAGATCTGTTGTTGTAGTCCTAGTTGAGTGCTGGGTACAGCATATGGAAAAATTAAATAAAAATTAGTGTATTCAAAGTGGTGCTGATGTTAAACTTGTGATCACCTGTTCAGTATTATTTGATGTGTTTAATGCTAATTTTGAGCTTGATTTTTATTTTTATTTCACTGAGTAGATTTCAGATGCCTCCTCATAAATCAAATTGCCTCCTCTGTAGCTAGTGTTGAAATAATATTACTCAGATAGAGCTGTTTTGTGGCAAACAGAAGGTGATTCAGAGAACTACACCTGTGCTGATCTCACAACAAAGCTAATTAATCTTTTTTAATTAAATGCTCTTTAAAATTCAGCATGATAAAGAGTAAAGGGCTTATTAAAAATGATTATTTTAAAGGGCACTGCTGTAACAAAGAAAACTTTTGCTGGTGTGTTCTTGCAAGGGAGTGAGTGATGCTGATCATTTGTTTATAGACTACAGCTGCAGAAAATGAGAAATTAAATGAAAAGTTGGGAGGAACACTGAGAAATGAGTGCTTGGGACAACTAAGGGATGTAATTTTGATTTTATTTTTTCAGCTTCGGGTTCTGTTTTAGGTGTGCCAACATCTGAGCTGTCTGCAAATCTCAAAATTAGTGGGAGCAGATCTAGATTGCTGCTGCTTTGGGCTTTGCAAGTAAAAGCAAGAGATTTGCAGGCTTCCTGTGGGTTTTTATTTAATTCAGGCCAGGGAATCCATGGGAGGATGAGGTCTGGAAGGTGCAGTATTGATCAGACAGTGTGCTTGGAGCTGAGGGTGAATGGAGTATGAAGGCTATAGAAAAAGAACAAAAGGAAGGTTAGGCCAGCCCTCCTTGGCAGCTGGAGCTGGATGCCTTTTAGAAACAGCCCCTGTTGTCATGGAGCTCCTGAAGCCAAGGCCAGGGGTCTGGCACTGTGATTTTCTCATGGCAAAACAGCCTTGTCCTGTCCTAGCCTTGGGGGGGAATAAATAAATGAATAAATAAATAAATAAAGGCAGTAGCCTTGGCGGCACTTGTCTATTATTGCAGCTCAATGACTGAACTGCAGTGGGACCAGCACCAAAGGGAAGCCTTTTCTTCACAGAGATTCCTGATTTTTAAAATTTATTTATTTATTTTAAAGTCTGGCATCTACCCTGGCCTGCAAAATATCTTTTATAAGGCAGCATTTGGCATTTGGAGAGGGATTTTGAATAGTTTATGTAGAACTTGCTTTTCTCTGAGTCAGCAGTGTTTTGAGGTTGAGATAGAGACCTGAATTCCTAATCTCAAGGGTTTTGGAAGGGCTTCCAGTAGGAGCTGGTTTGTGTTCAAAGCCCATTTTCCTGTTCTAAACTTTAGATTATGGTCAAACTGTTCAACACACTTATTTGTAATTCCTTGAACTGGTCAATAATTTACAAAACAAGATACTAGTAGTGTTATTTGGCATTGATTATGTTAGTTTACCTCTATGTTGCTTTACTGAACTTTTTGGCCACTTAGAAGGTGCTGTTTTGTTTGCACAGAAATATTTGTGCTTGACTTTATGGACAAAAAGTATATTACATGCTTAAAGAGATTTTGGTTTTGTTTTTTGGGGTTTTTTGTTTGTTTGGTTTTTTAATCCTTTGGTAGTGACAGAAGTTTAAAAACTTGCTTGGTCTTACTATTATTTTGTGAATGTACTGAAACATAAAAGCAAGCTGTGGTAGAAGAGGTTTGGAAGAGGAAAGCAGTGAGCCTGTGTGCATTTATTTCTTTATGAGTTATTTTTAAGTGTAGGAAATGCTGGTTCCCCCATGTCAGAAAGCACCTCTAGATAAATTTTCTGCTAGACCTGGGTAAACTCTTTGTGCTGGAGAATTTGCCTTTCAGATCCATCCTTAAGAGTCAGCTGTGCTTTGGTACCTCCTGATTACTATTACTTGCAAAGTTTCAGGCACTAGTGAATAAAATATCTGCATTTTTAGTATTGTATAAATGTAATTTCTGCTGCTTCACCCCCTCCCCTGCTTGTGCTGTGCTCTCAGGTCACAGATTTGGAAGTCTCGGAGGCAAGTTCAGATCAGCTTTACAGGGAGGGCCCCAGGCTGGGATGTTGTAACTGCTGTGGTTCTGCTGTTAGGAAGAAAAGTTATTTTTTTATTTTGCTGCCTATGAGGAGGGATCCATGTGGGAGCTCTCTGTGGAATGGGATTGCTCATCCTTGGTCCAGAGCCCTGGAGCAGGGCTGGAGTGACCCTCCAGTGGTTCTCCTGCAGCCCTGTCTGGGTCATCCCAGGGTTTGTTTGCTCCAGGGAGGGAGTCCTCATCCTCAGGAGTAGCCACAGAGCTGCAAGGATAATGACTGGATAAGAAAATAACCCTGGGAGCCAAAGCTTGGAGTTTGGAACAGGCTTTGGGGCCCTTGGTAGAGAATTCTTCTCTACCAGCCCTTGGGTGGTGGAGTTGTAAACACCAGGCAGAACTGGTTCTTTTCTCTCTGTTTACTCTTTAAAGCATCATCAGACTCCAGAAGAAGACGGATTTCTTCCAAAGCTGCCCCTGCACTGCAGTTTTGTGTTGTGTTCTTTGCTCTCTCCCTTAAAAATGGTACTGACATTTGTGTGCTTAATATCAGAGCCAAACCAGAAAAATCTAAATGTTGAAATTTTGTATTTAAATATTCTCTTGAGGTTGGTTTTACCTAGAAATTGATGCTAAAATAAAGAGATTTCTTGGTTATGACAGTCCAATATGTATAGTGAATGAAACTTCACTGTAGTCATTTGTCTTCTCAATTTAATAACATTTATTTCAACATCTGTCTGAATCTGCTAGAATCAGCATCCCTGGAAGTGTTCCAAAAACATGGATGTGTCACCTGGAGACATGGTTTAGTGGTGGGCTTGGCAATGATTGCATTCACTCATCTTAATCCAACCTGAAGCAATTCTGTGGTGCTATGGTCTGCTTCTCAACATTGTTGAGACCATAATAAAATCTTAATTTTCCTGTTTGTGTTAACACTAACCCTTGCAATCTGTGAGAGTGCATGAAGATTCAGGGGCTGTAACTATGGGAGGGTATGAAGAGTCTGCTCTGCTTCAGCATTAGGAACATTTGGTTTTTGACAGTACTGAAATTGATAATTATAGCCTGTCTTGATTTTTTTTTTTACTCATTAAACTAATTTCTTAATTACTAGAAAATGCATTCTGTCTTTGAGATTCTGCACTATATTTTTTTATTACAACAAGGTGACTGAATAGCTGCTTTAATTTCAAGTTTTGACTTTAATTATGGAATTGTATGTAGCTCTTGCAGAAGAACTAAAGCTGTTCCAGAGCAGTGGGGTGAAGGAGAGCTGATGACAATCATCATAATTTAGGCCTTTTCTTTCCAACTTTGCTTATGAAAAGAGCTTTTATTTTCCAGGAGGGAAGCTTCCACACAGTTTTCAGTGTGGATTTCTGTATGGATTTTAGTTTGCTGTGATGCTGTTTGTATTTGAAGGATTAGCCTGATGAGAAGATGGGAATGGTGGCTGAAGCCAGTGAGTCCTCCTGGAAGATCAGGTGAAGGCTTCAGTTAAAAACTTGGTTTTTTTCCTTCTGAACACAAATGTTTGCCAAGCTGGAGTGAATACTTAGGGTCAGCTTCAGTCTTTAAACAAAAATGGAGTTGTGAGGTCTGAAACAGCACTTGGAGGATCAAAAAGGTGATGGGAACTTTGGCCAGGGTGCTGTTATGAGCGTGTCCCTCTCTGTCTTGGTGCAATTCCTTTGACAAGCCAATATGCGTTCCCTCCAGCCCTTTGGACTTGGTTGTTCTTCTTCCTCTGCATGGCAAAGGTGGTGGATTTGCTCTGAAGAACTATTTCCACTTGTAAAATTGTCCCTATGTCCTTCTGTTCCAACTTCTTTGTTTTTCTATTTTGTTTTGTAGACACAGATGAGGACACGGTGAAAAGATGTTTTGCCACGTTTGAAGAGAAATTCTTCCAAACCTGTGAGAAAGAACTTGCCAAAATCAACATTTTCTATTCAGGTAAGGTGCTTATTTTGTGTGTATTTGTGGAAAATTCAACAACAGAAAAAGGGCCTGAAGGTTCCAAACTTTCAGGATAACCACAATGGTGAGGCAGGTCTACCATCAGGTAATTAGAGGGTGAGTTTGTGTGGAAAACTGCTCTGGTTTAATCACAGATCTGGAGCTCAACCCTGCTATTAACCTGGCTAATCCTGCCTGGAGGGAGAATGAATGGCAAGTGATTTCATTTCTTTGAACTTTCAAGGTATCCTGCTGAACTTTATGGAGATGCTCTTCAAACTAAAGGGCACAGTCTTTCAATTTTTATTTTCTTAACAATCTCCTGGTGACATTTTAGGTGTGCTGAGCCTCCTAGCTGGTGTTTCCTGAGCTTCTGCAGGAACAGCTCTTGTGGGCTTGCCTGTGTATAATCATCTTGATGGGTCCAACAAGTTTTTAAACACTGAGCTCTCACTGAAACCCCTGCAGCTTTCTGAAAAAAAATCCTACAAAATCCAGTAGCTATTGCCATGGGCTGTGTATTTTGAGTAAAAATGATGTGATAGTAAGACTGGGGATTTCTAGGTGTCATATACCAAGGTGGTTTTTGTTGTTTCCTCTGCAAAATTTGCCTTCCCATCCTGTGTTTTGAAAACAACTTTAGAATGGGTTAATTGGAAATTCACCCTGTGAAATTGCTACAAAAGGCTTGGTGTGCTCTGGTTCCTCCTGCCATTACACTTCAGATGATTTTCAGCCTCTTTTGGTAAGGTTTAAAATGGGGTTTCAGCTAGAAAAGCATTTAAATGTAGATACAGCAGTGCATTGGCTTCCTCTTAATGTGTTGATTTATTAACTTGGTGCTATAAACAGGATTTGCACCACAATATGGTAGCCTTTTTTAGTTCTGATTTGAATCTGATAACAAAGGCACAGCTGAATTGTGCAAAAATATTTTCATAACCATTGGGTGCTGACTTTGTTGCTGGCTCTTTTACTGCCAGCCAGGATCTGGGTTGTGAACTTGAGGAGAGCTGAAAGCGTGATGGATGCAGTGGCTGAGCACTGCAGCTTCCCTCTGCTCAGCTTCCATCTAGGGAAGTAAATCTCCTTGGGGCTGGCTGTTCCTGCTCTCCCAGCTCCCTGCAGCACAGTGGGTGTCAGGACAAGAGGCAGCTTTTTTCGGTAAAATTGATATTTTTTATTAGGTCAGCTGGGTTTTACACTTTATAGGCATTTTTCTGCCTGCAGTTCATATGTACCTAACTCAGAGCACTGCTCTGTGTTGTTTCCCTGGGAGATCTTGTGCTTCTATCCCAGACCTGAGGGTTTTATGCTCAGAAATTTCCTTTCTGAGCCATATCAGATCCTGTGCACTGGGAGCTAGACTCTGTGCAGGAAGTTCTGTCAATTTAGATGCACAATACAGATTATAATTTCCCCTAATGAGGACCTGCTGCCACACGTGCACCCACATGCACACACCCATTCCAGCATTGTTTAAAATGGCATTAATAACATAGGCTAGGGTTGGTTTTTTTTCCCCCAGCTAGCTGTCATTTCAAAAAGTTTCAGGAGAAAATATATGTAATTTGACAATCTCCTGTGATAAAATTAAAATAAGGCTTTTATTTGCAGAAGAGCAACGTGACTTTCATAGAATGGAAACCCTGTTATTAGGGTTATTAGCATTGAGCTGCAGCAAGAAATGTTCCATCAATGCTTCCTACCCTTGATCCTGTCAGAAATTTGTCATGTTGGACCCTATTGTAACTCCAGGCATGTGTTGGCTTGGATTATGACCTGGCACATCCTATTTATTATAGGCTTGTTACACAGCTTATTACACTCCTGTCTTTACTACAGTAAATATTGTTCATTTTTCAAGAAAATCAAATTTTCTGTTGATCCCTGCTTCATTTCCTCATCATCTTTCCCTAGGCTGAAGGCTCCTCAGTGGGCATCACCCGCAGCACAAATAACCTCATCCTCTTGGGGTGGCCTGGTCCTGAACCCCAATTCCCCCATGGAACACTGCTGCAGAAGCCTTTCCTTGCCCTTCCCTGTGTGCTCCCCCCAAACATTCCCTTAATTCCCCAGCCCATCATCCCAGCTCAGTGGAAAGGAAAACTGCCATTTACCAAATCAGATTGGATAAAAAATTTGCAATTTTTTGGACTGTGCTCAAGAAGATCCATCCCCAGCTGAAAGACAGAAAAATTAGAGTAAAATTTTCAGATGGTTCCAGCAGAGGAATGCCTAGTAAATGTCTACACTCTTTTTACTAATAGTTTTAATTTATTAGAATTATTTTACTAATAGAAATAAAACAAAAGTAGAAAACAACCATATAAAACACTACACAACAATTTACAAAAGTTACAAAGCTGACCTGAGCTACATTTACAGCAGAGACTGACAAAAGACTAAATAAGCCAAGCTACAACCCACAAAAAAAAGACTTTCTAAGTTCATAATCTCTTTTAGAACAAGAGGTTTCATTGTTTAATATTATTTTTTTAGACTAGTAGATACTTTACTTATGAAATAAACAGGTTTTTTCCACTTTTCTCCAAAGAAGTATTTTTCCTCAACCAATTAAGAAAAAACCTGATTGAATCTACTTTTGATAAATGCCTTCAAAAGTTCTCTCACAAATGTACCCTAAACCAAAACACTATTCAAGTGCTAAACTTTTATCTGTGGCCAGTTTTGGTTTGTGTTTGGGATTTTCTAGATGACAGGTTTGTTATATTTTAAATCTCCATCATCAAGACTTGGCTAAACAGTAGCCAGCAACATTTCTGTGGTTAATTCAGGAATTGTTATTTGTAGGAAACCCTGGCTTTAAATTGGGAAGGAAAATATTGAACATAAAATGCACAAGCAGGGAAGGGGAGGAATGCTGAAACTAAAATGTGTAGCTGGCAGGAGGTTCAGGCTGTTGATCCCCTCCTGTCTGGTGGAACAGCCTTTGATCCATGTAAATTGGAATCTGGGGGGAAATTTTCCTGGTTCCTTGGTGCTACAGTTTTTTTTCCATCATCCTCATGTGTGAACTTTGATTTAAACTCGGAAAACGAAGTCAAAAACCAGCTTGGAGCTGCGTAGTTGAGGTGATAACACTTTAGGCTCTTTCAGTCAGGATTTTAGCAGCATTTTTTGGGCCAAGCTGCTGATTTATGGCAAGCACTTTTGTTGAAGTCTGCCACTATTGGGTTTGGATTTCTTGTTAGTCTTGGCCATGAAATTACACTTGAGCTGAGGGCTCTGTGGGCATCAGGTCATGCAAAATGCTGCAACACAAGAGTGGTTCCAGTTTCTGAGCTTTTTTTTTAGCTCTCTTGTGTGACTTTTTTTAAAGTCACTTTTCAGAATGTTAAATTAGTGACAGACAGTGCTAAATTAGTGGGAAAATAATTTCTATTCTGCTTTGCTCTTTCCCTGGACAATTCCCTAGGACCTTTTCAGAACAGCAGCACACTTTGTTTTGTTTTGTTTTATTTTGCTTCTGCATTGAGTCTCAATGATAAAAAAAATCATACTTTAATAAGAAGAAATGATTTGTGGATGGGATAACTAGAGTCAGTGCAGGAGAGAGAAGGTGATGACAGGATGGCTGCTTCTCAGGAGGGGCATTTTTTATGGATAGCTGCAGTCATAAATATGAAATATAAATATTTCAAGGCATCGTATTTTCTTTAAATATTGTGTTATTAGGCTGATGGATGTTGGGATTTTTCTGGACATAGGGACAATGGAACAGTGCTTTCAATTGAAAATATTAATTTAAACTCTTCCATATCTACTGATTTGATTTAAAGGAAATTTCAGTGTATCACAGATGGTTTAATAAATGTTTTCAATATAGAGAGTGAACTTCTGAGCTTTATTGATATGAAGGCTTTTGATTTGAACAGATATCTGTTCCTTCTTCCCGAGGGAGTTCCCAAAGTGGGGAGGGATTATTGTTTCGGCAGTCTGATCTTGTTGTGGTAAATATTATGTGGTTGTAGGCTGTGGGCAGACAGTTCTCACTGTGGCAATTCTCATTGCCTCTGTTTCTGTGGAAGCTGGCAGAGAGGAGTTGCCCTTTCCTGCTTTTTAAATCTTCTTCCTTTAATAAAGTTCATAAGCAAGAAGTTTAGAGGTTCAGGCTCCTCTGTACTTGATTTCCTATGTTGATTCCCATTTTCTGTTAGGAAAGACATTCTCCTTCTGGCAAATACCTTGTGCACAAATGTAAAATTACTTACAGAGTAGTTCTGCTCTTAAAATTAAGCAGAATTGAGTTAGACAAAGGAAAAGAAAGAATAAATCAGAGTAAATCAGAGTGGGGAGCAATTGAGAATTGTCATTGAGTTATGTAAGATACTAATGAAGAGAATTATGCTGACATCCAGGAGGCTGTTGGGGCAGAGCTCTGTGTGGTAGAGGGACCTTGTGGCTCTGTGGTTTCTGGTGCAGTGCTGGGTGTCCTGCTGGGTGGAGGTGGCTCCAGCACTGTGAACCTGGTCAGCATCCTCCTGGCCAACACCAACACCCCTGCTCTGTGACCCTGCTTATCTACAGAGATGCCAAAGCTGTGACTGAAGCTCAGCAGGGGAAAAAAAAGCCTGGAAGGAACCAGTTGTACAGAACAAAGAGAATTATAATGGTCTTAACCATGCTGGTTTTAGCTTTAAAAGGTTGTTATTTAGCCAAAAATACTGTTTACTGAGAGTACATAAAGCAGCATGTTGAAAGGAACACCTTCTTCATACTTGAGGTGTGAGGAAGAGAGAGAGAGACTCGTTCTGAAAACACATAAAAATGACATTTAAGTGCAGGCTGTTGGCCTCTTTAATCAGTAAATAACAAGGCAATGCTTCTAAAGTGAGGAAAAGAGGGATAAATTATTGCAGTGGATCATGTAGAGCAGGCAGCAGTGTTGTAACTCCTGATCAAAGCAGAGCTGTGTTTGTCTGTCGCTGGGAGCTTGGCAAAGGGGCCGTGCTGCTCTCTGAGCAACAAAATTCAGTGTCACATTTGAAGTGTGGGGTTTGTCTTCTTTGATTTCCCTACTGTCACATGAAAAGATAGTAAACACCAAGTCAGTAGTGGGTGCACAGATCTGAAAAACGCTTTGCTTACTCACTGTCATGTTTCATAATATTGTCTAACAGGATTTCTCTCTGATGCTCCTGGTGCACTTGATTTATGTGGGAAAGAGGAGCAGCTTTTCTGTTGTGCTCAGAGTAGATGTGTGGTCAGTGCTTTGGTATTTGGATGAGACCCTAAATGAAGCAGAATTGATTTAGGGTCCAACCAGTGTGGGGAAGCCTGCCCCACTGTCCTTGTGCTGGTTTGCAGTCCCCAGGTACCTCTTCCATCCCTAACAGGTATTTGTGTGGTGCTGGACTGAGATCCTCTAGAAATCAAAGCTGGGATGGAAGCTGAGAGGTCTCAGTTCCTGGCTAATGCTGCTTTAGTCTGTGCTGAAGGGACAGCCCTTTCATTTTGACCCTATTAATTTTTTTTTTTCTTGAGAACTTGTATGTTTTACGTAGGGTTAATGAGGAAAGCTCCCTCTTTTTCTCTGTCCCTGCGAGACCACATGGAGTGGTCTGGAGTTCTGCATCCAGGTCTGGGGCTCACAGCAAGGAAGGACATGGCCCCAAGAAGGACAAACACCCATTAGAGTGGGTCCAGAGGACTGGGGCACCTCTGTTCAGACAGGCTGGGAGAGCTGGGGATGTTCAGCTGGAGAAGAGAAGGTTCCAGAGGTCCCTTACAGCCCCTTCCTCTGCCTGAAGGGTCCAAAAGAGCTGGAAAGGGACTTGTGACAAGGGCTTGGAGTGCCAGGACAGGGAAGAATGGCTTAACAATGACAGAGGGCAAGTTTGAATTAAATATTAAGAAGAAATCCTTCCCTGTGAAGGTGGTGAGACCCTGGCACAGGTTTGCCCAGAGAAGCTGTGACTGTCCAATCCCTGGAGGTGTTCAAGGCCAGTTTAGACAAGGAACACATGGGAGGTGTCCCTGCCAATGGCAGGGCTTTGGAATGAGATGATCTTTAACTCAAGGTAGTCTGGGATTCCATGCTGTGACAAGAGAAATACACAGAGCAGGGACAGAGAGCAGGTTTGAATTAGATATTAAGAAGAAATTCTTCCCTCTGAGGGTGCTGAGACCCTGGCACAGGTTTGGCCAGAGAAGCTGTGGCTGCCCCATCCCTGGAGGTTAGACAAGGCACACATGGGAGGTGTCCCTGCCAATGGCAGGGTGTTAGAATGAGATGGATGATCTTTAACCCAACCAGTCTGTGATTCCATCCAGTGAAAAGAGAAATACGCAGAGTGCTTGAGATACCGCGCGATGGGGGAAGGCCGCGCAGCACAGAGCGTTTCACCCACAGCCCTGTCACTGGATTTTTGGGGTGGTTTTGATTTTTGGGGTGTTTTTGGGGCTGGCTGGGCCATCCCAGGTGACGTTTCCCTCTGGCTGCCCACAGAGAAGCTTGCGGAAGCGCAGCGCAGGTTCACCACGCTCCGCACCGAGCTGCAATCCACCCTGGAGGCGCAGAAGGAGGCCAGCGGGGCCTCCACGCTGCCGCGGCGCCGCAAACCCGTCTTCCACCTGTCCCACGAGGAGCGGGTCCAGCACAGGAACATCCGAGACCTGAAATTGGCCTTCAGCGAGCTCTACCTCAGCCTCATCCTGCTGCAGAACTATCAGGTACCCGCCAAGGGCGGCGCGTCCGCAGGGCCCTGCGCGTAAACGGCTCCGTGCTTTGTGTGTGCTTTGGTGCCTCAGGTTTGAGCTTTTGTGGTTTTCACATTCTGTGCTGCTTTAGTGTGTGGGTCTGGGCTTCCTATGAGGAGATGGTGAGCTCTGTGCACAGAGCAGGGAGACAAAACAATTCCTGCTCCAGCTGGGGACCAAGAACAAATGATCCAAATCTCAGGCCCTAGAGCATAAACAACGTGGGCAGAAGAGAGAAAAACAAGCAGGATGGGACTTCATAACCTAAAGCTATCATTGGACAATTAACTAACTGCAATGGAGTTAATTGTTAATTGGACCAGAACTTGTAAAAGTGTGAGACCCCATGACCTGTTGTCCATTTTGTGACCATTTTGGTTCATCTTGGGTGTAGCCCTGGCTGGGCTCTTGTGCTGCCCCATTGAGGCCTCCTAATAAATGCCTGCTTTATTCTTTAGCTCTGTCCAGCCTCTGTTCTAGCTCAGCCTGCGCAAGGCATCACCTTGACTTGCCCCACTCCATTTTTCATTTATTTCTTCCTTTTGGGGGGGGGGGGGCTAAACACTTCTAAAGAAAAGGGAGGTAGCAGTGCACACCTGGTTGCTTTTAACTGAGCTAGAAGTGCTAAGCTGACCTGCTGAAGGACTTTTCCTTCTTCCTTTTCTGGGCTGGCTGACCCCAGCACCTTTGTCCAGGCAGGATCTCTTCCTTCTGTAGTGTGTTGTTCTAGGCAGGGCAGGTTGGGGAAGAAGCTCTTTTATCTTATATTTGTCCTGAAACTTGAAATCCCAATGTTCTGTTTTCTCTTGGCGTTACCATGGTAGTGGCTGTGACCTTGCTGTATCAGAATTTCTTGCTAAAACATATATTTAAAAAGATATATATTTTGATTTCTGCAGGATACAGGCTCATTTGCCTTGAGGTATGAAAACAAACCAATCTTTAGTTGTACTTGGATTTTTGGCTTGGTTGCAGATGCTGATCTCGTTCCAAAAATCTTGAAATAAAAATCTGAAACTGTTAATATATTTTTGGCTGGGCTACCTCTTCTCGAGTTAAATGCTCTGAAATGCTTTTAAGTGTTTTACTGTGAGGGGCTCTAGCTTGTTAAATAAGAATGTTGGAGCTTAAAATGACTGCATCTGTATTTAGATCTTAGACAGATCTTTACTGCAGAATTTTACTAAACAAAGTTCACAGAATAAATTGAATACCACTCTGCTGTATGGACAGAACTTAAACTTCCAAGATTTTTAGTATTTGTACCTCTCCTACAGTGATGTTATCTTTGAGCATGTGTCTGGAAACTCTGAGTTTCTTAATAAAGTGTTGTAACTATTGGTGGTAGTTCCTAGTTCAAATTCCTGGGAAAGGTGGAGTATCTGTATCTTCTTAGGAATGGAGTGAAGCAGCATCACCTGCTGTGATTTCTTCCCTTACATTTATTTTCTCTTTTAACAGAAGACAGCTATACTTTTAATTACAAAAAATCAATTCTGAGGCTTGATGAAGAATTTAAATAGGGGCTAACATTGATCATTCCCTTGGGAAATCTTTTCTTTCTGTTCCTCAGTGTAAAAAGGCAGGTTGCACACTGATATTTTTGCCTTTTGCTTCCATGAGCCCAGACCCACTGTAAGTCTACTAAATATTGATCTAAACTCCATCTGGTTTTTCACACTTTGCAGAGGCAGCAGAGCTGCTTTCTACAACACAACTCCAGAGAGAGAATAAGAAAAATTCCCTCAAATTGGTATTGAAGTTGTGGACAGGGAATACAAACACAAAAACAGACACAAAACTAAATCCCAGAGTACTACTGTTGTTAATCACTCTTGAGCTTAGAGTAAAGCAATGAGGAATATTCAAGCTCTTGCAGTTTTGGAGAGAAGAAAAAACAATAACCTGGTGGGAGGATAATGTACCTGAGCCCTTCATGTAGGAGATAAAAAATGAAATCAACAGCAGCATTATAAAGATCAGACTGGCTTTGATGAAATGCTGATGCCTTGATTTGAGTTTCAGAGGAAGGAAAATCCACCTGAAGCAAATTCCTCAGTCTCTTAGGGGTGAACAAATGCATTCATTCCTGAGGTGCACAAACCAACTGTCAAATGCAGCTACAAGCAGTCTCCAGGGCAGCTCTTGCATGTTTAAATGATTAAACCTCTGATAAAATTAATTTATACTTACCAACAATGTATTCTTCTAGAGTGTGTATGTACATTAAAAAAAATCTATCTATTTGAAATGCTGTGTTTTAGGACAAACAAATGCTGACAAATTAAGCATATAAGATTTAGTTACTTATTCTGTATATAATATAGTGCATTTATTGAGTGAATAATAAAGACTGAACCAGTTTTATTAAATTACCTTGCTGGTGCATTTCCTAATATATATGAGCAAAGATATTTGAGTCTTCTGCTTGATTCTACTTGATGTTGCATTATATCATTGCCTAAGTTGCACTGTTTGTTATTTGTGGAGAGTTTTTGGTTGATTTTATTTTGTTTTTGTTTGTTTGTTTGGGGTTGTTTTTTGGCTTTTTTCTCCACAAAATGCAGCAGAAATGGAGGTCAGGCTTGGAGAAGGCCCCTTGCCAAATAAAAGCAGCAGGAACAGCAAAATATCAGACTGCAGAAATGATGTTTGTTCTGTTCCACAGTCCCATCACTGTGTGTTCCTTGTCAGAAGCATCACTGTGACCAGCAATGCTTTTATCATGCACTTTGAGGTTGCAGAATTTTTGCAGCCAGAGGATGAAAGGCCCCTGGAGAGATTTTAGGGTGTCTGCTGTAAACATATTCCAACCAGATTTAGGCTTGGGATTGTACCCATGGCAGATGAAGGGATGTTACTTCAGGCCACAGAAAGGTCCCTGACCAAAATCATCCTTTTGTTGCAGTTTTTCATGTGAAATTTCTGCTCTCCTTGGGGTGGAATGCTGGCTTTTCCAATAGAAAGTAATTAAAGTCTCTTGTCTGCAATGAGGCAGGTCATTATTGCTTTGGCTTCCTGCTCCTGTCTCCACAGCCTCATTTCCCACCTAGATGGGAGGGTCTGGCATTAAATCACTCTAAGCATAATTACATTGGAAATAATTTCACTGAGTAGTTGGTGCCTCTCCCCAGGGCATTAGATTTTGCTGTTTTCTCTGGTTTTCTTTCCAAGCTGCTCTCTAAGCTTTTTTCAGAACTGAGTCTTGCCACAGTCTCTCTGTGCTTCTGCTGTTGTTTGAATGCAATATTGAGTTTTTTAGGCAGCACTTCCTGCACAATGAAATGCAGGATTGCAAACACATCGTGCCACAGAAATTGCTGCTGTGTGATGAGCTCTGCCTGTCCTAGGTACTGTGCATGGGTGTTGAATCAGGGATCATCTGTAACTTGGAAATCAACAGTTGCTTCTTGTTTTAAGCATTGTGTGCTTGTCTCTACAGACTGGAGAATTACATCTCCCACATCTGCAAGCCTAAGCTGGTTTTGCAGTCATTGTGCAACATACTCTGTGAAAAAACATGCTGCTGTGGGGATGCACTTGTCTGGATTTAATCTGCAGCACTGACAACTTTCATACAAAGATTTCCCTTCTATAATGAATTTACCTGGAGGACTTGATTTGAAACCAGTGTCAAGTTAAAAGAAATCAGTAGCTCAGTTTTTTCAGGAGAGAAAACCCCTTAAGGGTTATTTGTCTTCAGGGTAGCATCAGGTCACTTCTTGCATAAAGGAGGAAGGTGGAGGTGATCTGGCTTTTTAGGAAATAAAAAGCTTTAGGTAGCTCCCTTTTTATTATATATATTGTATTATATATTCCTTATAATAAAATAAGAACTGAGAAACTTCCTGACAAGGAATGCAATCATTTTGATTCCTATTAACGATTGATTCTCATTTTGATTCTTATTAACGATTCCTTTGTCGCTAGCACTGGGGAGAGAACCATTTCTCTTTCTTGGGAGATGGGCTGGGGTTTAAGAGATGGCTGGGGTGTAAGAGATGGCAGGGGTTTGAGAGCCAGCATGTTCTTTCCCTTGCCTGCAGAACCTGAACTTCACCGGCTTCCGCAAGATCCTGAAGAAGCATGACAAGAACCTGGAGACGACACGGGGGGCGGAGTGGAGGGTGGCCGAGGTGGAGGTGGCTCCCTTCTACATCTGCAAGAAGATCAACCAGCTTATCTCCGAAACAGAGGTGAAGAGGCTGGCCTGGGAACTGCCATAAATCCCCCCAAAGATGGGGGTTTGGGCACTGCTGGTTTCTGGAAGTGTTCAAGCACGGGTTGGATGGAGCTCTGAGCAAACCTGTTCTAGTGGAAAGCACCCACCGCAGAGGGTTGGAACAAGATCTTTAGGTCCCTTCCAACCCAAACTGTTCTATGACACTGTAATTCCCATAGTGTTTTGCCCTCTCTATAGCTTGTGTTTACCACCAAGATGGGTAATAATTGATTTTGAAATGCCACTGTGTCACTATAGAAAGTGAAATAACACAACACAGACATGCTGATCTTTCAGGGTAAAAGAGACTTTTTAATTTCTGACTCCAACATTTATAGATTTCCAAAAGTGACAGTGGATTGGAGGGTGAAAGTGCCACCTCCCCAATGACTGGACAAACCAACAGTCCATCAAATTTCTCCTCCTCCATAAAAGACTGCAAAACAATAAGTTATTTACATAAAGTGTGTGAGAAAGTTCGTTAGAAGAATGTAAATATCAAAAGGCTTAGAAAATCTCAAAAAATCAGGGTGATACCACTGACTTCTGGCACTGCTTACATCAGTATGGGTATGTTCTCTTCAGCTGAGAACTTCTCCCTTGGCAAAGCTTAGTGCAGCTTTAATTTCTGCCATGGAGGAACTTGGTTCACCATGCTGAGCTTTTCACATCTTTGTATTAAAAGAATACTGGGCCAGGGCTCACCTCTAACATGGAAACCAACCTTTAGGTTTGGTTTGACCATGTGCTCATCATCCAGGTGACCTTCAGTGGTGTGTGTCTTTGTCTCCTCAGGAACTGGTGACCAACGAGTTGGAAGATGGAGACAGACAGAAGGCAATGAAACGTCTGCGTGTTCCACCCTTAGGAGCAGCTCAGGTGAGACAGGGGGGTTGTGGAGCAAAGCTGCTCCTCCAACTTGTCAAAGTGCCAAATCAGATTCAACATCTGAAGGAAACAGTGGAAATAATTGATGTGAGCGTGCATGGGGCAGGGCCAGATAATCTGCTTTAGTTCCGGAAGGTTTGGAAATAGGTTACTGCTCCTGATGCATGCAGACAAGGTAATGAAGGGAGGAGATAAATGCTAAAAGGAAATTTGTACTAATAAAAGCATATGCTTAGTGTTTGTGTGGTCTGGAATATTTTTCAAGGGCCATTGAGACTCCCAAGCTCTGTTTCAACATGGCAAGAATATTACACAGCATTTACAGTTTAAAAAAAAACTCATTTCAAAAGCAAGAGTGCAATCTGGGGTCAGGAGCTTGTGTTTGTGATTTTAAGTTGGCTCTGCAAACTAATCTGACTGTGCTGATAACTTGTTTACCTCACCTTAATTCTGCTGTGGCTTTGTTCACAGCCTGTGCCAGCCTGGACTACATTCAGGGTTGGATTGTTCTGTGGGTTGTTCATTGCACTGAACGTCACTGTCATACTTTCAGGTAGGTGTCCTGCCATGCCTGGGTTTGGGTGGATTCTGATTCTCCTCACTTAGGGAGCATCTGGACCTGGATGTGCTGGGTTAAATCAGAGCCATATCACATTGGTGTGACCTGCTCAGCAGTAGGTTGTGCTTTTTCTCATGTTGTATGTGTCAGTGTTGAACACAAAAATCCTTTTCTTCTGTTTTCCTCCTTATTTTTGGAGGGATATTCTGAGGGTGCAACATCTATGTGTAAGAGCAGTTTTTTGTTGTCATTCTGGGAGCACACAGCCTGTGCCAACTTTGAGACAGGTGCTTGTAGGTCTTGAGCTTTGCATGGTGTTGACTCCCTAAAGAAAAGAGCACCAGACACAGAGCCATGTGACCAGATGCCACTCAGGATGGAAATCAGGCACTCATGTGGAAATTCCTAGAATTTCAATGCCTGGAGTCTGCTAATGGAATTAATTGACTTTTTCTTATTGGCAGTAGTTGGCAAGATTGTTTAAAAGCTACACTTAATGGGTGCATCTCTCAGGCCCTGGCTTTATTCTGCTTTATGCCTTCTGAGTTTGGCCCCTGATTAGAGTAGTACTGCAGATCCAGACACAGAGCTTAATCACAAGCAGCTTTACTAATTGTGTGTGTGATTTCTGGAGTGTTGTAACTTGCTTAAGCAGTACAAAGGAAAAGGCTTAACAAATCAACTTACCAGCTCTTGCATTAGGGAAAGCCCATGTCTGTGTTTTTATGACTTAAAAGAATTTTTAATCGGATGTTTCTGTAATTGGATCCAGCCATCTCTTGGGATAAAATGCCTCTGTTTGAGGAGCTGTTTGCAGTGTTTCCTTTTTGGTCTTCCCATGGTAGAGGAATGAAGTTGACCCATCTGCATGAAGGCACTGTTTAATGTGTAGAAACTGTTCTTTATTCATAATTTCTGTTACTTATACATTTGATCTCCTTGTGAGATGCAAAATGATTGAAGCCAGTTGTGTTTGTTCTCCCTCTCGGTGCTAAGAATGAAAAAGTGAGGCAGCTGTGAGAAGGAATTCATAAAAATGATTATATAAAAATGATTATATCTCCAGAGCAGGTGTTACTAACCCAGTGTGGGTAATAGGTGTGTTGTATCAGCAGGCATGATCTGATAGCTGAGCATTACTGTAGATATTGGGCAAAAACCTGGATTCCAAGTGCAGAGTGGGTGTTTTTAATTGGCCCATAGTTTGCTAACCTCTCAGCTGCTTTTGCCAAATTGTTTGTGTGATTTGATCAGCTAAGATAGGATTTTAGTGTTCTGTGTGGAGAATTTGTGAAACAGCATCAGAACATGGCTTCTGCCAGTAAGCCAGTGCTGCAGTGCCTGATTTGAAAACTGCAGCAGCATTTTACTGAGATGAGTTCATCACCCCTTGGGGTCTGTTAAAGGCTGCAAAGCTCCAAGTGGATCCCAGGAGGGTGGCACCCTAAAGAGGACAAATTCTGGGGCTTCACTGTTTCTGTATGGGCTTCTCTAAGTGCCAAGCTGGTGTGTAAGTGAGGATGTAATTTCACAGAAATGTGCATTCATTTTATTAACCAGAAACCTGAAAGGTTTCATGCAAAATCTCAAGCCCTTACAGTGGTCCTGCTCTTGTTTGAGAATTAGGCTGCCATTAGATTTATCTCCAGGGATATTTTCATTTCTTAGTCAATATTTTTGAGGCTACTCTGCCCTGTTTGGAGTTTTGACCAGGTGACCCATTGTGTTTCTTTTCAACCTCACCCATTTTGTAAATTCCTTTGGTTTTCAGGTAAAAATTTGAAAATCTTTCTTTGCAATTCCACATTTAAGACTTAATTTCACATTTAAGACATGTAATTTCTTTCAGTTTTTTTTGGGGGGTGCATAATTTCTGTCCAAAAGTTGACTCTGTTTTGCCTGAATCCAAGAGTTTAAAGTTTTAAATTTAAAGCAGCAGTTCTGGAATAATTTTATATGCACAGCTTTTTCTCTGTAAGTTATGTAGTATAAAGTGTAGATGCATGAAATTCCCTATGGATTTGCTTTCTCTGAGAAAACAGTTTGAAAAACTTGGGACTATAATTCAGGCAGATCTGTGGGAATAAATTCTCAGCCTCAGTTCTGTAAAGTGCAGGTTCTTTCTTTTACTCCTCTCAGAAAGCACATGGGTGAGAAACTCTCAATGAAACTAAAACTAAGGATTGAATAACTTTATTTTATTTATGCTTTTCTCATCAAACCTGTGCCTAGTGACCAGTCCTTTGCAAAGAGGTTTAAGCTGGAGAAAGCTGCTGCTGTATAAGGCTGTTCATGGTTTGAAACGAAGCACATTTGTTTCCAAACCCCTGAAAACCGAACAAAGGAAGCAACAGGCTTTCCAGCACTGCTGCCTTGTGCTGGGATTTCTCTTTGGGTGGGGCTGGGTGTTGTAATGCTGGCCATGAATATGTATTGCATTACCATTGTAGTGAGACCGGTGATTAGGAGGGTTTAGCATTGTTTTAAATGCTGTAAATGGTTCCTCTTGGTTTTGTGGGGAGCTGAAGTGTTTGTGTATCTGTCTGTTGGGATTTCTTCTCTATTAAAGCAGAATATTTAAGTGTCTCTAGTCAGATTTATGCTGGTGCTGTCCCTTGTGCCTGCAGTGTGAGGCAGGGACGCTGCTAATGACTCGATTACAGCAGCTGGAAAGGGAATTTTCCCCAGAATGCTCCTAAATCCTCTGACAGGCTAGGCAAAATTCCTCCACTTGCTGGAGCATGCAGTTGTGTACACATGTACCCTGTTTTCTCAGGATACAGCCCAACATCTGAGATCCAGGATAAAGCCTTGCTTTGTGACACGACCTCTGTTATCCCTAAAATCCTTTTTCTTCTTTGTCTTTGCCAGGTGTGGCTTTTATAGATGGACCAAATGTGTGGCCACTGGTGAGAATCTATCGAGGTGGCTTTCTCCTGATAGAATTCCTCTTTCTCCTGGGTATCAACACCTATGGCTGGAGACAGGCTGGAGTCAACCACGTCCTCATCTTCGAGCTCAACCCCCGCAGCAACTTGTCCCATCAACATCTCTTTGAGGTGAACAGGAGGGATTTTAGAGTGGCTGAGCCATGCTGAGGATCAGCAGGATAAATCCTGCACCATTTCCTGGCAAGGACTCCTAATACAATTAGAAGAGGAAGTTGCTGAAGTCTGATTAGATTACAGGATTGAGCACTGCTCTCCCTTTTCTTCTAATGAGAACACATTGCAGGTTTCAGGGCTGTGTTTTCATTAGGTGTTTGTTTGGGGTTTTTTTTTCCTGCAGATTGCTGGGTTTGGGGCTGTGCTTTCATTAGGTATCTATTTGTTTGTTTTTTCCCTGCAGATTGCTGGTTTCCTGGGTGTTTTGTGGTGCCTGAGCCTGCTGGCATGTATATATCGTCAATTCACCTACATCCCCATGCAGGTGAACCCACTCATCTTGTATGGCTTCATGTTGCTTTTCCTCATCAACCCTACCAAAACCTTATATTACAAGTCCCGTTTTTGGCTGCTCAAACTATTGGTAAGTGTCAAAGCTGGTTGAAAGAAGTAATTGTTTGTTTAAATGCTGTGGCTGAGCAGTAGCTGTGAAGTGTAAACAAGTGTCACTAACCCTCAGGATAAGAGGGATGCTGGGGGGTGCTTATGCCACTGTGATTTATAGAGCAGACTTGATCATTTTTGAGGATGGTTTTGCAGAAGCATATTCTGCTTCCTGTACCAGTTGACTTGTTAACCTTCCTATAGAGAGCTGTTTACAAACTTTTCATGTATGGAAACCCTTGGATGTCTTTCTTGTTTATTCCATAACCTAGTGAAACAGATGGATTAGAGGTCCAGTGCTCTAAGGCAAGGCTGCATGGATGCTCCTTAGCCCAAGCTGGGGTAGTGCCAACGTTGGGAGGGTTCACTGATGAAGAGAGAACCTTTGGAAAAGTTACTGTCTATAAAATTGTGCCCAGGGGTGGGGTTTTTTTCTGTTTGTGCTCTTAAACAAACTCTTTGTTTGAGACCGAGCTCTTTATTTTCCTGTAAGATAAGTCTGGTAAATTCAATGTCAATATGTTTGCTCCTTCAGTGTTCCAGTTATAGGTGGGAGCTCTGCAAGAACAGTTTTCAGCCTTGCTGGGTGACTCATGAATTTCTTCCCAAATGGCTGTTTCACATGCTCTTCCCCACCCTGTGCACCCTTTTAAATTGGCTTTAATCAAGCTGGTTCCCCTGACACCTTCTTCTTGCTAGCACTGCTCTGAGAGCTTTGGGCAGAAGAGGGTTTGGCTGGCTGGTTTTCTTTATAGAATCATTTCAATGCCAATTAAAACAATTAACTTTATCTGGAACACAGCAAAGATGAGACACAGCATCGTGCTTTGAGGACGTGTGTGCAGGTATACACACAGTGAATTAACCTCTCTGAGCTCACCTCTGTTATTTGATTTGCTGGCTTGCTGCTCTTGCAGCTTCTTCCTTTGTGCCTTCCAGCACTCAGCCATCCCTCACAGAGGTACCTTCAGTCCCAAGCCTCATTAGTCTGCCTGCTGTCCCCTGGTGTGAGGGGAAGCACTGGATGTGCTTTAACCACATGAGCAATATCTCTGCTAATTTACCTTAATATCTTGCCAGGGTGAGATTCTCAGTCTCCACAGAGCTGTTAGGATGTTTGCAGCTCCTGCCCTGTCCCAGTGATCTCCAGACTGTGCTGCAGTCTGAGATAGAGGTGTAAGATCATAGAATAGCCTGAGTTGGAAGAGACCTTAAAGATCATTGAGTTCCAACCCCTCTGCCACAGGCAGGGACATTTTCCATGATCTCAGGTTGCTCTGAGCCACATCCAACCTGGCTGTGGACACTTCCAGGGATGGGATAGCCACAGATTCTCCTCACAGGGCAACCTGTGCCAGGGCCTCCCCACCCTCACAGGGAAGAATTTCTTGTATCTAATCTAAACCTACAGTCTATCAGTTTTAAGCCATTCCCCCCTATCCTGTCACCAAATGCCCTTGCAAACAATCTCTCTCCACCAAACCTGAACCATGGAATATCTTGAGTTGGAAGGGATCCATAAGGTTCATTGAGTACCTTGAGTGTGCAGCACCCCAAGGTCTCCAAGGGAAAAAAGCTTCATCAAAATGCAAGATCACCTTAATGGTGGGAGATGACATGGCACTTGTGTGCATTATGAGGAAGGGGAAAGAAGAGGTCAGACCACATAAACAGCAGCTTTTATTGTGTGTACTTGACCAGCTGGGTGTATGTTATTGCTCCATGCAGCTGCCAGCAGCTCTCTGGGTGAAAGGAGGTTTAAACAGTGCAAGTCTTAGAACTGTTCTGCTCACACAAAATTATGTTTGGTGAGCATTTTTCTTCACATGCTTCATATGTTTCATTTCCAGCCAAAACAAAATCTGACGTATCAGGTGTAGCAGAGCATTACTGGCACTTCCAATTTTTCTGCAACCAAATCAGGGGCATGCTTGAGTGTGTTGTAGCATTTCCTCATGGATCTAGGAGTCTTCCTGCCTCCCCCTGTGACCAACATCAACTGCTGGTGGAGGCTGGGATCTCTTGCTTATCCCTGAGGGATGGTGAAACATCAGAATTTGAGTGAAAGAAGTTATTTAGCCTGTAGTAAAGTCTAATTCCCTTGCTGGGCTCTTCATTCTTGCCTGAGTGCTTAGGTGAGCATTCTTTGTGCCTTTGCTGCCAGTGAGAAGGCCCTGAGTGCCCTGGTGTGGGCTGGGGAGAGCAGCTCAGGGCAGGAATTGGATCTGAGCCCAGGGAATGTCCCTGTGCCCACGCTCTCTGCAGGAGCTCCATGGCCACAGCAGTGCAGGGAGAGCCTGTCTGTGAGAGGTGAAAAGCTCAGCTCAGATATCTGGCATCTCAGCACCAATTAAAAGTGCAGGGATCAGCACCAGGAAGTCTGTGCTCAGGCTGTGGAAGTGTTGATAGAGAATTGCTACTGGTTATTGAAACTGAGCTGCAGCTCTGGCGTTTTATGACTTTATCCTTATCTGGGGGATGTTGCAGACACTTCTCAGCTGGGAAGGCAGGAGCTGGCTGTGGTAGCTCCACTGGAATTGGGGCTGCAGCTCCAGCTGTGCCTGGGCAGCAGCAGAAGCCACAGTGCCTGGCACATGGCTTTGGGAGGCTTCAGGTGGCAGCTCAGGCTCTGCAGGAGGGTTGACTCAGGTGCCAGTGCCAGATATGTCATGGATCTATCTGTTGACTCCTCCTCAGCTGTAACCTGTAGGTGGAAAACTTCTTTTCTCTTAAAAGTTTTATGCTGTCACCTGGAGTGCTGAAGAATTTCCCCCTAAATTAAATAACAAGAGTATTATTTCTTGGATTTTTTTTTTTTTCCTCCAGGGGAATCTGTCTGTAAAGCTATTTTCACATTTCATTTACTTAGCTAGTCTTTGTTCATGGACAAAACAATGGCCTGTGATGAAACAGATAGTATCAGGGAGTGTTGGGAAAAGGGAGGAAAGAGTTTTTATAAGGGAAGCCTGGTGTAGTTTTTGACCTCTGTTCAGCAGCTGGGCACCTTTGAAGACAAGCCTCCCTAAATCTGGCCCTGTTTGACCCCTGGGAATAGGTGCCATCCAACATGAGCACAGAGCTTTCTGGGTCAAGATCCATATCTGCTTTATGCCACTAACTCTTAATCTCCTATTTGGCTTTGAAATTTTAGGAGCAGAGCCTTAAATCTGCATTACAGGCTGATGGGGATGTGTCAGTCCTTTCCTGACTTTGTGCAGCTGTGCACCCTTCAGGTTAATAAGGAGAGCAGTATAAAAGATCAGTGTTAGCCTGTGCTTTCATTAATTTAAAGGTTCATAAATCCCAGAATGACCGGATGGTGCTGGTGCCTTCTCTGTGAGAAATTGGCCATTAGTAACTACAACTAACTGGGTAGGGAGAGGGGTAATCAAAGGTAATGGAGCAGAAAACTGTCTGCTTTGGAAGGAACAAAACTGCTCTTCAGGCTTAGAGGGAAAGTGGACTGGGATTGAGGGGGAGTCCAACTGACAGGCAATAGGATTTCCTCTGCCTTTTCTTTCACCCTTTCCCTGCTGGAGGCTTTGGCAGACCCTGTAACAATCCTCACTGTCACAACTTCTAACACCAAAGGACAACTCATGAGTTAAGTAAACCAAGGCATGACCAGCCTAATGGCTGTGCTGAGGGTCTGAATCCAACTGACATTAAGTGTGAGGGGGAAGGTAAACGTGGAAGATGTCAATGGACACGATGTAAGTGCCTGAAAGAAAGTGCTGATCAAAGTGAGGGGCAGTGAGAGAAATGGAGCTGTGCAGAGCTCTTAAATGGAGACTGGGAGTTTCTGGGAAAGAGCTTGGTGAGAGGAGACTGGGCTGCTCTGCCAGTAAAAAACAAAAGGCTGGGGGTGCACAGGAATAGATGCATACAGGAGGAGGAAAGCAGGAATGTTCTTTGTACTGAAAGCAGGGAGACAGTTATCCTTTTTTTGTCAACAGGAGCAAAAGGTCAGCAATAAATCTTCAAGCATTTCTGTTATTTCCATATTTGTTCAGTTCTGTGATGTCCTGCCACTGCATTTGGATGCTTTTGACACAGCCATGAATTATTCCTGCTTTGTTTTTTCCTGACAGTTTCGAGTATTCACTGCTCCCTTCCACAAGGTAGGCTTCGCAGATTTCTGGCTGGCTGACCAGCTCAACAGCCTGGTGGTGATACTTATGGATTTGGAATACATGATCTGCTTCTACAGCTTTGAGGTTCAGTGGGAGGACAATGCTGGACTTCTGGCAGATACAGGTAATGCTGATGAGCCCTGGGAGTGGGGTCAAAATGACCTGAGAAACACTGAGCCAGGCAATTTCCTAATTGTCTGTTTTGGAAAGGGTTATTAATAGTACAGAAAACCAAAATAATTGGCATTTGTTATAAATGTGGCATTAGAGAGATCCTTCCCTTTGTTACTTCCATCCAGAGAAATGGAATTTGACATCAGTGTTCATTTCCTAATCCAGTCATTTGGCCCAATGTCTGTATCCATCAAAGAATTTAGACACAGCACTCCTGATTGGAAAGAGAAATCCATTTTCCTGGCATTGTTGTTTTATTTCATAGTAATTTAACCATGTATTTGCCTTTAGCCTCTTCCTGTTGCTCATCATGAGAATCCTGAGCTGGTTGAGCACAGCTTTCTGTGCTGTAGCCTGGTTCTTACAGGCTCCATTCTGAAGCAGGAGAGGATGGAGAAGCTCCTTGGTGCCATCTCTTGCTTGATTTGAGTTTAAGCTGCTCTGCCAGGGCTGTCCATGCTCTGTCTTCCCTTATTTTCTAGCCAGAAGGAACACAGAGCTGCAATGTGAATTTTGACTTTGGCCTTCCCAGTGGCAAAACAGTACCTGTCTCCTCACTGCTGACTTTCCATTTCAGGCAGTGACTGCTGGCAAATCATATTGTCTGATGGTTTTGACACTTGCTGAGAGAATTTGCTGTATGCTTCAATAAGCATCAGTGTTCACTTTGTTCTCCCAATCTGTCTGATCTTCCCCTTCATTTTAAGAGACAGCGTTGCGAGCGGCTAAATATTTACTTATTAAAAATAAAATTAAAATACATAAAGCAACTGTGTGCATAACAATTTGTCCTCTTCCAATCTGAGCAGTGGAATGATAGCACGGTGTTTTGGGATAAATATCAGCTAATAATGTGTCTCCCTCAGTGTGAATAAGAAACAAATGAATGTTAGGCAGCAGGGTGTTTGGTTTGGATGTGCTGAGACAGCAGAAGAATATGGAGTTCTTGGGGAGTTCCAGGAAAAGCTGAGGGTTTGAGGGTTTCCTGGTCATTGCCTTAATGAAAAGAAGGCTTTCAAACATGGAGGAGGGGACACAATGGCATTGTGGTGTGGTTGCTTCTCATCTCAGCTTTTGAAACCAGACTATGCCTTGGCTTTGCTTTTTAAAAAACAAAGTGAAAAACGCCAAACTCAGTCCCATACTGAAATGTGTTTTTTCCTATTAGAATGCACAAGGAAAACAGGTCAAGGACAGCTTTGGCAAAGTAGCCTTTTAGAGCTGTCCTGCAGAGTTTCCCATTTATGCACAAAAATCCAGTGTCAAAGGCCTTTTGTAATTCCATCCTTAATTTGATTATTCACAGTCCTGCCAACAGCTCTGAGCACGTTTAAAAATAGATAATTTCTAATCTAGCATGTTGGTTATACTGGCAGGATGAGGGAGTTAGATGGTGATCTGTCTGGATGTGTTATTGATGTCACCTGTACACCTCCAAGATGGAATATTGAGCTACTTCGGGCTTCTTGCAGTTTGTACCAGCTGCTGATGGGGAATTGCTGCCATAAAGTGACACTGCAGACAGGAAGACAAAAACAGTTCTTAGACTTACTAATTCTTTGCCTTAACAGCTCCAACTCCTGTTTTTCTTGCAGATAATCAGATTTGTAACAGCTACTCCTACGGAGTGAGAGCAGTTGTCCAGTGCATCCCTGCTTGGTTGCGATTCATCCAGTGCCTGCGCCGTTACCGCGATAACAAACGGGCCTTTCATCTGGTTAATGCTGGAAAATATTCCACCACCTTCTTCGTGGTGACATTTGCAGCCCTCTACAGCACTCACAAAGGTATTGGTGGCTTTGGAGAATCCTGTGTAGCTCCTGAGGTTTGCATTTTTTACACAAGAGAGGCTCAGTCTGGCATCTCATTGAAACGCGAGCTTCTTGTGTTTTGGCACCTGTGAAACATCTCTGGGGAAAGGCAGGGGCCTGCCCAACTTGTAAAGAGTGTTTTAAGATCTTATTTGAGGTGTTTTTCACATCCCTGGTCTGCTTAGAATTGCACTTAGGGAGTGGGGGAGGGAACTTTTAGGTTTGCCTTTTAAAGCTGAAATACCTGTCAGGTTCTGCTGCAAAGGGAGGTGAATGGGAGGGAGATAGATGAGAAGAGGGATAGCACAGCAAATACTTCTCTCTTAACATTCATGAATATTTAACCTGGACCATCTAAATAATCCGTCCATCGTTCCTAAATGTGAAGGCATGTGCACAGTGCCAGGAAAAAATGCTCTCTCTGATTTTCCTGTGTGATTCTATCCATGTTTTTTCAGCAGCTGGTAAGGAGTTGTTTCCAATCCATTTAACTGCAGATTGAGCTCTGATCCCTGAAGTTCCTCATCTCCCTGGAAACGACAATTACTCGATTCTACTCTTGTTCTGAAGGAAAAAGCTTTTAGTTTCTGCACTTCAGGCAGTCGCCCTGCCCTGCCTTTCATTGTTCTGAAGCCCTAAAAGCTGTATTCTTTCATTTGAGAATATCTCCCTTCTATATACCCAGAAATTAGCAACCACACACAGTCATGAGCAATTACTTAGCCTGAAATATTCCTGCGGTGAGGCAGGCAGAAGTGTTGAAGGCATGATTCTAGTTAACATGCTGGGTTTTTTGGAGGGGTGGCAGGGTTGTTAGAAACCTTCCTGTGGCCAAGAAATGTCTGCTTTGTCACAGCTGGGCCCAGAGTCACAGTGATGATGTTTGTCAGTGTATTTTGATGGCAGGGAGGGGCAGTGGCCCAAGCTGGCTGAAGGCTGGGAGTTGGGCTCTGTATCCAGAGCTGGTGTGGGAGCATCCTCTGGGAGCATCCCCATAGCATCTCCTCCCTGCTGCCATGTCCCTGAAGCTTGTTCCTGTTTTAACTTGTTTGCTCAGTGACATTCTGCAGCCCTGCAGTCCAGTTAGTCACCACTGCCAGAGCCTGGGATGAGGCACAGGCAGATTCCCTGGCTGCAGAATCACTGCTTACATCTTCTGTAGCCAGAGCTGCTCTGGGGAGGCTGACTAATGCTTCTGCCTCCCTCAGGGGGGACACACTGCCAGAGCCTTCAGTTGGGATGGGGTTGTGTCTTGGTTTGGAAAGCCAGGTGTCTGCTAAGGAAGGCAGGAGCCTCCCCTGAAATGGAAAATGCAAACCCCCTCCCTCTGAATTATTGTAATTTTGAAATTAAGGGGCTCTCAGGCAAAGATATGGGAGCAGGAAGAACAGTTCTTTACCAAGAAAATTAAAATACAAATGCAATAGTACAAAACAAACAAAAATAAGTCACTGTCAGAGTCAGACCATGCCCTGGCCCCCTGTGTGTCAGGGAGGTGTCCCAGCCCCATCCCATGGGGGCTCAGCCCTCCTGCAGTGCCAGCTGTGGCTCTGCTGCAGCAGGGATCCTGCACAAGGGGGGAGTTTTCCTCTGCAGCTCCAGGGCTGCTGCAGATGGGCCTGGGCTCCCTCTGGCAATGCAGGGCAGCAGAAAGCTGCTCCTCTGGGAATGCAGGGGGCAAAGGCTGCTGGGGTGTCCCAAAGCTCAGATTGGATCCAGGCAGGAATGCTTGGCTCCTCCCCTGGGCGGAGCATCTCCCCATGGGATGCTGGGATTTGATCAGCCATGCTGGGACACTCACTGGCCCATGGACAGAAGATAATTGATAATTAATGGGCCATGGACAGAAGATATTTCCTGAAGGGAGGATTGGTTATGGTAGTGATAAAGAAAACTTCCCAATGAACGGCAGAGAACTGCCCCAGCTCTGACAGATGGCAATAAAATACACAGTTATCCTACAGCCCAGGACAGGTTGGAACCAAGAGGAGAGCCAGCCTCTTTCAAAATGTCCTGTTGAAGAGTTTGACCTTTTTCCACCGCCCTTGAAGCTTTTCACCCGTGCCAGTGTTGCTACCCTGGTTCTGGTTGCTGCCACACATAACTGGTGTCCCCTTTCCCAGCCTGGCAGGGAGTGGGCTGTAATGAGGTGTTTATGAGCCTTGTTCCAGTTGCTGTGAGACGTTCCTGACTCCCAGCTTTTGTCTGTCCAGTTTTGTCAGTGGCACATCATTATTGGTGTCGTACAAAACAAAAATTGGAAGCTTCGTGGCCTTTGGAAATTACACGTTAGCAGAGATTTGTAAATGTCACTGTGCTGGCTTTTCAGAGGGCTGCCTAAAGCCCCGCACATGTCCCCTCAGGCCTGGAGGCTGTTCCCATCCTGCCATAAGCCCACCTTCTAATGTGCTGGACCTGTTAAGAAGCCAATTTTATCAAAGTGCTTTACATAGGTCACCAGTTTGTTTGGAACTTGGAATCAGATGGTTTATCATCAAGTTGTTATCATGCTGCTGTTGAAAATAGATGTGCTGCTCACCCACACCACCTCTGTGTCTGCCCAAGGATAGCAAACACCCTCCTAAACATCTGCTGGGGGGAGCTGTGTGTTCTGAAGAAAGTGCTGCCCAAAACAGGTGTCAAATTGGTGAAGATCCTTGCTCCTCAGACCTGCTGTAAATTTCAGTAAGAAACCTAGTAATTTCTGTGGTATCAGAGTTTTATTTTAACAGTCTTCCATGCCTGTGCTTGCAAGCCTATGACTTACGCCTCTGGAATGACAGCTTTTGGCTGCCAGGAGGAGAGGGCAATCCCTGCCCTTTCCTTGGGAGGTCAGGTAATGGACACCAGTGCCTGTTCTCCACTTGGGAGGCCTGGGGACGTCACAGCCCTCTGAGAAGTCTCATCTTCCTCCCTTCATTTGAACTCTGGATAGCTTGTAGCTGCTCTGTGGGTTTTAGTCAGTGCCTGCCAGCCCTGTGAAGATGGGTGTGTGGTTGGGAGGGTTTGCTGGTGTGGAGAGCAGCTAATTCATACACAGTGCACTGACAGCACTCTGTGTTTTCCTGGGCTTGCTGCTGGAAAACAACTCAAACTAAACAAATGTACAAAAGCCACTTTATTAAGTGATGTTTCTGTTCTAGTCCTGGGTGGTATTCCCTACTCCAAACCTCCTCTAGTGAAGGATCCCCCCTGTAGCACCAGGTACTGTGGGCTCTTGACAAGTGTCTGTTTCCCCAAAATATCCCTGTTTAATAATTCATATTGCTCAGGCAGTGCAGAATTCTGATTCTTTCTTCCCTGGGAGAAGCCATTTCTTTACTTTCCTTCCCTTGGATTCAGATGCAGGGTGCAATTTTCTCTGCTAATTGCAGTTTGGATGTCAGACCGCTGAGAGAGCAAAGTGAATTCTGTTAGGATTTTGCTCCGAAACTTGCAATGCTGTTGGTCTGGGACCAGACCAGCTTTACAGGGGTAACTCCAAGCTGTCATCTTGATATTCAGGAATCACTAGGATTAGTGAAGCAAGTGGGAGAGGAGCTACCCCAGAACATAATTCTGGAGCAAGCAGTGGTGGCATAGACGAGCGCAGACTCCAGCGCGGCTCGCAAGCACAGCCACATTTCAGGGACAACAACAACAACACGAGGACAACTGTTGCTGCGTTCCCAGAGGAGGAATTCTCAGTATTTTTATCTCTCCCAAAGGAATGGGAAGCAAAGGCCGTGTTCTGTAAATAAAGTGCTGCAGGGTGTGTTTGCTCAGACAAATGAGGCACGGCTGTAACTCGAAGCTACCTGGCAGCCGGGGAGCTGCTCTGTCCCCTTCTTTCCCACCCTTGCTTTGCACTAAGGAGCTCAGTGCTGGCATTAAGTTCCCTGCCAGTGCTGAGTAGCTTTCCCCAGAGCCAGCCAACAGAGTATTGCATTGCCTTATTTAATCCCTGGGGAAACCTACGTGCTGCTGGGGAAGCAGATGATTAGGCCCAAGCCTGCGGCGGAATATTCAGCCCGAGCACGGCGTTGTTTTGACACGCAACTGCTTTCTGCTGTGTTTTCACTCTGCCAAAAGCAGATGAGCTCTTCTTGACAAGTGCACCACTAAAGAGGCTCCCACTTCAGTCTACATTATCACAGCATTTGTAGAATCATAGAGTGGTTTGGCTTGGAAGGGACTTTAAGGATCAGGGAGTTCCAACCCATACTTTACACTATCCCAGGTTGCTCCAAGCCCTGTCCAGCCTGACCTTTGAACACTTCCAGGGATGTGTTCCACAGCTTCTGTGGACAGCCTGTTCCAGGGCCTCACTACCCTCACAGGGAAGAATTTCTTCATCATATCTTGTCTAACCCTGCTCTCTGTCAGCTTGTAGCTGTTCCCCTTTGTCCTGTCACTCCAGACCCTTGTCCAAAGTCCCTCTCCAGCTCCCTTTGAGCCCCTTTAGGCACTGGAAGGGGCTCTAAGGTTACACCAGAGCCATCTGGTCACCTCTCCAGGCTGAACACTCCCAGCTCTCTCAGCATGTCCCCATAGCAGAGGTGCTTCATCCCTCTGAGCATCTTCATGGCGTGCAGTGGACTCACTCCAGCAGGTCCATGTCCTCCTTACACCGAGGAGATCCCAGAGAGGGACATCCATGGGCATCCCTTCTTGTAAAAATTGTGCTTGCATTAAAGAAGGCACACTGCATATCTGGAGTAGCCAGCTTTGGTTTCACTCCTCACTCAGACCTGACTCAGGCTGTGTAGGATAAGGCTTGTTATATTTAGGTGTTCAGCTCTTCTAAGAAACAGTTGTGTTGTGCTACTCATGGAGTGCTGGTCACTTCTGAAGCTTCAGTCATGATTTTTGTTCCAACTTTATTCCTTTTAAAATGAGATATTGTGGTTTTGCTGCTCACAGTTTTCTCACCTTGATGCAGCTTGCTCACATGGTGTCATTGGAAATATCAAAATATAGGTTTGGCTTCTGTGCTT